ACGTGTGTGTCACCCACGACCGGCGCGGGCTCGCTTTCGCTGGCTTGGGGTTACCAACTGGTCGGCCACAGACCGAGCATCACCTATTGTTCATCTACAGCCTTGCTTTCTCTCGAGGCTGTGGGGGGGTTCCAGCCCTCTAAAGTCCCCAGCAAGGGGAGCGGAGACTCGAACCCTGCGGAAGGTGCGGGCTGTGCCACTCGGCTGCGGGCCGCCTTCCTGCTGCTCAAGAAAGCAGTGACTTTTAGAAGGCGAACAGCGCTTTTCGCTTTCCGAGGACCGGGACGCCCTGCCGGAGCTCCTGGCCGGCGCCGCGCTGGGGTTCTGTCTTTCCCAGAATTGGGAGGTCTCAGCGCTGCCTCTTCGGCTGCCGCTCCTTCCCTCGCGGAGAGTCCCGGCCACAGCTCGGAAGCAAGTCCCAGGCCCGGCCACCTTCTCGCCTGGGGTGCCAAAAGGAACCCAGAAGGGGAAGCAGGCACGGAACCGAGGGTGGAGGCGCTTCCAGGCGCAGTAATCTCAGACGATCCTGCCTTGTCCCACTCAGGTCGGCAGCCACGACCTCGACCTCTACCTCGCTCTCTCGACTGCAAGTCCCGAAGGACAATCGTGGTGGCACCTGCCTGTACCGGCGAGTGTCCCCCAAGCCCAGGGTACAAATTTGAACTCACACTTTTAGGAGCACGCGCCGCCTGCAGGTGCGTGGGGGAGGAATCTAGCTTGGCCGCTCAAGCCACCCAAGCCCACGGTGCCCACGGGGCAGCGAGAGGTCACGAGGGTCGTTCTAATTGACCCAAACACGCCACTCCGCTTAACACCACTGCAGCCAAGCAATTAACCAGTGTCTAATTAGAGCCGGATTTCTTGCCTCACTTTCTACTACGAAACTTCCCGGGACATTGAGGAACTGCCGACCGCAGACCTTTGCCCTCCACCCCCTTCACTCTCTCCACCGCGGCGTCCCTGATGAGGGTTAATCGTTAAGTCTACAGCCGGGGCGGAAGGGGCCGCGTGACTTTCCGAATTTCCCTCAGCTCTCACCGCTGTCCGAAAAGGGACTGCCAGAGCCGGCTCACCCACTCACGCTCTAGGACACCCGCTGTCCTTCCTAACTTAGATCTGCTGCGATCTCTCAGGTTTCTTTACATTTCCTTCCACTCCCAGGACTGGCGGAGGGCTGGACAGGGTTCAGTGGTTAGGGAAGACAAAACACGATCCCCCAGGCTTGAGGCGCTAGCGGGGATAACCAGCCTGAACAGCAAAAATAAATCAGGCTCCTCTTGAATGTTTGTTTGGTGAGAATGAAAGGGATCTGTACCGCACTGTAGCGGGCTGAAATTCTGTGTCGGAATCTGTTGACTTTCTCCCAAGTCTACATTCAATTTTCGGGGTCGGGTCTTCCTCCCACCGGAAACAAAGCAGAAATGGAACGGGGAGAGCTTTCCAGAGAAGTCCCGACCTGGAAAATGAGGTCCCTCACCCCAAGCTAGCAATGGGGATAGCAAACGGGGGTAGGAGGGGTGGCAGTTGGATTCCGGACTAAACCCGCTGGGGCAGTAAAGCTGTATACCTTGGTGAGTCTCTGGGAAGTGAGCGAAGGCTGTGGGGCCCTTCACTTAAGACCCTACGAAGTGTAGAAGAGTCGCCCCTTGCCATTGTTTGGCGAGTCTAGAGGGCTTACAGTCTTATTTCTGAAGAGAAGAAGGGAGCAGAGATGCTGCTTCTGATTTTACCACCGCGGCCACTCGGGACGTCTGGTCCTTTATCTTCTCAGGCAGCGGTTTCCCCACTTTCCCCACCAGCAAACCCCGGATTACGGGTGTCCTTCGCCCTTTCCCTCGATGCCGAACAAGACAAATTGGAAGAGGGGTTTAAACCCGGGGCAATGGGCAGACAAAGGCTCCATATGCATCTGAACTTTTCTAACTGTTCTTAGTGCGGGAAAGGGGCCAACCGGCCCCAAATGTGTGGCTGTGGGAACTGAGCCAGGAAGCGCTCACTATACCTGAAGGCGCTGCCCGGGGCAGGTCTTGAGAACTCACCGGCACAGTCCCAAACCCATCAACACGGTCCCCAGAAAGACACCTACAGGGAACCTTTTCAAAAGGGTCCAGGAAAAGACCTCGCGGGTGTCATGAAAGGAACCGGAGGGTCTCCCAACTTAAGGAATGGTGGTTTGGAATTCCTTAGAAGGGGGAACTGGGACCAACGGGAGATTTAAGCAAGACCCTACTTCTCTACCCCAGGTTACTTTGGGTATCACTGCCAGCCTTCTTTCTTCGGGATCTTTTGTAGCCAACCTCTGGACAGCCGCTGGTAGAGGCGCAGTCTATCAGAGAAGAGCGCAGGGGTGGCATCCCGCCCGAGAACATCTGAGCTGCGGGGCCAGGCAGGAACCTCTGTGGGAGTGAAGTAAAAGGGTGCCACTGTGCAAACAGGAGCCTACCTAGGTACTGGCCTGTGGCAGAGAAGGACGTAAGAGCAATAGTGTCTTGGGCAGACCCCGAAGGGGCAGAAGTTACTTACTACTCCAGTGGAATACTTTCCTGAGGGGAATGTGCTTTTTTTTGGGGGGGGAGGTGTCTCAAACAGACAGCCACAACCCTGGATTTAAAGTCCTAAAATGTCCCTAGAGTCCAGGGCATCATGGATACCTAGGTTAGGGATCTATACATTGTTGCCAAGTACTCAATTCACTGTGGTTCTGAGAGAAGGAACTGTAGACAGCATCTGTGAGGAAGAAGCTCAACCCAAACTTGCTTGGTCTGCTGGAGGGTCCACCACCTGTGAAGAGGCTTTCTACCTTACATCTTTGCCAGGGCTTGAGAGAGCTCATGAGCTTGGGGTTACCCTTATTTTTCCAGCATGCCCAAGGACGGATCTCATACTCTTCCAGCATGATATCGTTAAACCCTACCATTCAAGGAAGATTAGAGTTGCTTCCCCTTCCCAAGTCACAGCTTAAAGCTGGTGGACAGATCTGCTTTGTGAGGCGAGATACTGGGCTGAGAGAAAAAAAAAAAAAGTCCTGAAGTCTTCAGGGATTGGACCCTTCAGTCTTGACCAGTGCCTTCTGCAATCTACCTCCTCTTTCTTCCACTGAACCCAAGAAAGACAAAAGGAAGGGCTGACCGCCCCCTCTTGGTTGGTTTTGCCTGTGGGAGCCACACTTCCTTTCTCTCTTCTGGCTCTCTCCCCGCTCTCTGTCCAGTTCTTTTCTTTACCTCGTTAAGTTTTCCACAGTATAGGCCCAGACTCAGAGCCTTAGCGAAGGGTATGAAGCCAAGGTGATGGCCATGTCTTTTAGCAAAGCGGGTTCCTGACACTCAATATCCCTGAGCAAAGGAAACAAAAGTCAAGACAATCTAAATTTTGCACATGCCAAAAATGAGCCCTACCAGGAGAGTTCAGAATGCGGACAGGACTTGTGGACCTAAGTCATTAGCATACAGGTGCATTAAGTGCGGAAGGAGGGCGGGAGTCACGCCCACACATCCTTTCTCCGTTCACAGACCGCTCTTACTCCTGCAGCACAGCTACAAGTAGTTTAAGGACTTGAGCACCTTGACCAGGGCTCACCTTTCTGTTTGTGCAGGAGTTGTGCACGGTCTCCCTGTGTGGGCTGATGGAAGCTATCACCGATGCTGCCTACAGAATATTTTAACAGTAAATTTTCTAACGTGCAGCGAACTTTGAAACTGTTTGCCAACAGGTGACAAAAAAAAACCTGTAGGCTACAATCGAGGAACAACCTAAAACAGGCTGAAATGGAGCTATCCCTTCCAGTTTCTTCTCCAAAACTTTCCAATAAAGCTCAAGACTCTGGCTGGACAGCCTGCCGCGAGCTCTGCTGGGACAGAACCTCTGCGATGGAGAGTCGGGGCACAGGAGGGCGCGCTGCTGTGCCCTAGTCATAGGTAGTCTCCATCCGCGATTGAGCCTGTGCTTAAACCCCAAGGCGGAAATCTCTCGTAAAGTCCAGTGAGGAAACCCTTCATCTCTCTAGAGTGGCCAGGGGTACCTAGCCCAACGCAGCTGTTGGTAGGTCAAGACGTAACCAGGAGCCCGCGAGCGCGCGCTAAGCTTGAGAACCTGTCAGGTCTCTGTACAGATTCCTTTTCTTTGGCTCTCTGTCTAGAAGTCAGAGGCAGGGACAGATTCCCTCCCGGAAAATCTCTGCCATGCACTCACCCTTACATACAGAGAAACCTGGGGCGAGCAACCTGTCCGAACTTCTTGGCCCTTGCTAATTGCAGGCGCTGGAAGAAATCGAAACATCAAGCAAAGTGTCCTCACGTCTAAGTCTCTCCCTCTTCCAAACCCGCGGCCTCGAAGACTGCATACCCTCGCCTAAGCAAAGGCTGAACGCTCAGTCCACAACTTCGTTCCAGAGCTTCTGGCCGCTGCATTCCTCGGCTAGCTGGAATGTAAGGAGTGCGTTCGCTCACAGAGAGCGGCGGCGACACAGGAGGCGGGTGCCTCGGGCAGCAGCAGCTGGGGGACTTAACCAGGTTCTGAAACTACCAAAACCAAGTGTGTGGCAGGGGGCTTCTGCACAACCAGCCCCAGGGACCTGGGACTCTCCAACTTCCCGCCAGCTAGGGTAAAGTTGCACTAGCGGTTGAGAGCTTTGGCCATTACCATGGGAGATAATCATTTGAGGGGGACCACTTTTGCCCTCGGGCCTGGCCTGTAGCAAGAAACCTCTGTTGTCCCCAAACAGCATCTTCCCCAGGGTTCCCATAAAAGCAACCGGCCAAAGATGCTACTTTCTGTACCCTTAGACCCTCCACGAACAGTAACCGAGAAGCTTTTATATTCGATCCCAAACAGCCAACAGCCAAGCCTTTCAAATACTGACAGGTACCCCTGCTCTGTGACGGCCTCTGCGTCCCGACCCCTCCCGGTCAGTGCCACAAGCCGCGTCTGGCCTGCCCGAACCTGCTGAGGCTGTTAGCTGTCTTGTTATCAAATTAAATGAGCGAGAAAGGGGGATGTCTTACGTTGCATCGGCACACCGAGCATCTCCGGGAGCCCCTTGACAGCCCCCTCCGCGGGGACAGCCGCGCTCTGCATCATCTCGGAGCCAGAGGCAGCAAGTCGCAGTCTACTGAGATCTCTCGCTCTCTCCCTCTGGCTGGATTCGGAAATTTGAAAATAATAATAATAAACCCAACTAGGCCGCTGAAGTCACTGTGGAAGCAGAGTCCTCCGCCTCTCCGGGAGGACTCCACTGGCTGGCCGGCCCCCTCCCCCCGCCAGTCCTCAGGCTGTTTCAAATCCCTTTGATCTCGCTCTCCGGGGCTGGTGCACATCCCGGGTTGAGGAGATGCTGTTGCTGCAGCTCTGGCTTTTTTCCCCTCCTCCCTCCCCCGCCCTCTTGTCTCCCCCTCCCCCTCCACCCTTCGCGTGCCGGCTGCCCAGGAGGCCGCGGTCACCCAGGCATTTTGATTCATTCACACTGCAGGAGCGGCCGTGACGTCGCTCTCCGCAGGGAAGCCCGCCCTCCAGCTTGTCCTCCCAACCTGGCAGCCGGCTGCAGACCCTCGGCTGACCAGAGTCGGGGGCGTTGGGGGTGGGGAAGTCCAGTAGCCCCGAGTGCGTTCGGAGGCGCTGGAGGGCGGGGCCGATCGCGGCGGGGCGGGGCCTCGCAGCCCCTCCCCCACCCCACCGTGCGGGCTCGCGCCCCGGTGTAAATACTGCGGCGGGCTGGGCCCAGGCAGCAGGTGGTCCCGGAGCTCGGCTTCCGCCCCTCGCAGGTTTCTGCGGGGTTTCGGGGATTCCCCGCTAGTCCTCAGCATCCTTCCTGTAGGATTCAGGGGAGAGGCGGGATGGGGTAGGGCCCCGCGGACCCTCGGTTGGAGCTCTGGGTTCCCGGCTTCTCCACCCGACCGAGCGTGTTCTGTAGCTGGATGATTCCACACATCCTCCACTTTTTTTTTTTTTCTTTTTCCTGGCCCATTCCTTTCCGGCCAGTACTAACCAGACCCTGCTCCCTCTCCCCCGCGTCCGGCTGAGGCTGGGCCAGGGACAGCCTGTACTCGGCCGGGAACGCGCGAGTCACGCAGCGGGCGGCCGCGGGGCCGGGTGCCGGAAGGCGACCTGGGCCGCGCCTGGAGGTGGCGGGGCACGCGGGTCTCCGTGGGCTCCCACTCTGGCCCCGGTCTCCGTCGCAGTTGGCACTCTCACCGCCCAGGGTCCAGTCCTGACCCCACCCTCCCCGCGGCGGGGCCTGGGTCTCCAGGCCGCTTCCACCCAGATCGGCCTTCTACTAGCTCCCAGAGACCGCTCAGCGGAGCCGGCTGCAACCGCGGGCGCTTTGAACTATTCCCGGCCACGTGTGCGCGGGGCAGAAGCGTGCACACGGCCCCCTGGGGCTGACCATCGAAAGGCGTGCGTTGCTATTATATTTACAAGACATACGAACACACACCCGCGCGCGCACATACACACACACACACACACACACACACACACACACACACACACACACGAATGTGCGCGCTGAAAGCCAATTCTCCTATGTTTATTCCCGGAGGAAATAAAGCAAGGATCAACGAAGTCTCTTCGAAGTCGCTAGCACTTTTCCAGACACTCGACGCCTCCTGACCGTGGGCGTGGGAAACCCACCGCGTCAGTCACCTCGACACCACCTTTTCTAATTTAGTATTTAGTTACCGGACTAGAAGTCAGATGGGTCTTTCCAGCCTAATGAGATCCCTCATGGGCCAGAACGGGGACTCATAATCTTCCTGGGAATTTTCTTTTAAAAAACTATTGGTGTTTTAGGGTTGGTGCTTGAGGAGGAACGTAGAGCTGTAAGAGGAGGGCGTGGCTGTGCCTGCTACTCAGTCTCCAGTGACTTCTGTGGGTGCTGGCATTAACTAGTGTCCTGTCTTGCTGTCTCCACAAATTTAGAGAAAAACTGCAAGGGGGTGGGGAGGCAAAGCACCTGGTGATATTTAAATGTTTACCAAAATGTTTTGTATAAACATGTACCTGGTAAATAAATGCGGTGAGATGCCAGCTTCATTAGCAACCAACACAGGGAAAACAAAGCAGTGTGGTCCACACCCCTCCCCCTTTTTAAATCGGTTTGTTTGTTAAATGACCACCTGGGAGGAAATTGGGAATTATTTGGTAAGGGTGTTTGTAAGTAGTTCTCTCACGGATACTGCTGGTGTCTTTATGAACTCTTAATATCCGTTTGGAAAGAAATTTAGGGATATTTATCACATCCATAAAGTTTTCCTATTTTTGAGTGTTTAATCCATAAAAGTAACCTAGAGTATTTTTAAAGGTTCATACATGAAAATGTCTATGACAGCATGATAGTTGGGAAGGGAAAATGACCTAAATACCCAACAGAAGAAAATAAGTTGGAAAAGTATCTTAAGTAATCGTTGAAATTAATTATAAAGTCCAGCAACATGGGAATGCTGTAACACCCGGTAAAAAGTTAATTAGAAAAGTAGGAGTAACATCCATTATTGGTGCGGGTGTGAAGAACATGGGGTGGGGGGAACCCTAGTGGAAATATAAATGTCTTCTAAGATCATTTTGACAATAGTTGTTTTGCACAGTTGGGGATAGAATGCAGGGCGTTGCACCTGCTGGGAAGTAAGCATGGGCTCTACCATGGACCTATATCCCTAGCCTAGGGCAGGACGTACCCTAAAAATGCCATGCATACAGAAATGTATTCAAAGAACATGATTAACAATGTTATGGACACATAGTTACAAGCCATTTGCACTTTAAAAAATTATATAGGGATTGAGAGTATAGCTCAGTCATAGGTGGTAGAAGACACAGGATTTGATTTCCAGGAAAAGAAAAAAGAGGAAAGGAGGGGAGAAAGAAAGTGGAAGAAAGAGACACGGGGAGTGATTTATCCAACACTATAGGCTTACTGGATAAATTAAAGCAAACTGAATGCTAAGAAGTCACTAGAAATAATAAAAGAATACCTGGTAATGTAGAAAATGTTGGCTCTATATTAGAAAATGGGGAAAGAGTTTATAAAGCAGTATGAATTTAAGAAATGTAAAAATCCTAACTAGAAAAATATGCTAAAATATAAAAGTGATTATCTCTATAGCAGATAGTTTTTTATTCTTTTTTGCCTTCTTAAAAGTTTTCTCAATAAGTGCATTACTTTACAAAGCAGGAAAAACTGATAAAATTGCTTTTAAAAAACAGGGGGGAAACCAGAAAGAAATATATCAAAATACTATTCAAAAAGTGTTTTCAGAGTAGATTAGAGAAATATATATGAAACAATATTTTTACTTTATAGATTTTCTGTTATGTCGCTATATTTTTCCAGTAATATCATAAAGGATATCCTATGCAATGAAATATACAACAAATATTCCTAACATGTGCAGGATGTCATGTAACCAGGACTGACCATGTTCCTGCTATGCAGCTGAAAATGACTTTGAATTCTTGATCCTCCTGCCTCTCACCTTCTAAGTGTTGACTTTATAGGTGCTCACCCCAATTCTTCAATCCATTCCCACCCCTACCCCCCACCTCTGAGACAGTGTCTCACTTGGCAGCCCAAGCTGGCCCAGAGTTACACTATGTAGCTCAGGCTAGTCTAGACTTGTGGAAATCCTCCTGCTTTCAGCCTTCTGTGTAATTATAATATAAAATTATACTTTAAGATGGGCAGTGTTGGCACATGCTTTAAATCCCAGCACTCAGGAGGCAGAGGCAGGTGGATCTCTGAGTTTGAGATGAGCTTGGTCTACAAAATGAGTACCAGGACAGCCAGGGTTACACAGGGGAATCCTGTCTCAAAATACCCAAAATAAATAAAATAATATTTTAAATCATCCTCTACAAGTCTTGTCCCCCTCTGGTATGAACTGCCTGGGCACTGCCTACTGCTCATTTGCAGGGTACTGGTCAGTCACTAAGGAGGGGATAAAGAGTTCTGGTGCTGGGATAGGGATTCTCTTGTCCTGGCACTAATGTAGGGAATGCCATTGTCATGTCTGTCCCTTGACAGAGATCTTGAACCTGTGGACAGCAGTCTCTCAATGCCGCCGGCACCCCCAAACCTACCCATAATGTACCTCAAGCCAATAAATACTCTCTTCCTGGGCATTTGTCCCTGGTACGAGCTGGGTCTTGTTCCCAAGGTTATTACATTTCACTTCCCTTTGGGAGGCCTCCGCTTTTGCGTCTGCCAATAGGGAAACATTAGTTAAAAGCTTTCCTTAAACTGAATGTTTAGCATCTAGTGCAGATGGCAGTGGCAATAACAACTGGTATTTATTGAAAGTTTACAACTGTACCACGCACCATGGTAAGTACTTCCACCTGCATACTGCCGAGTTTCCCCACCACAAGCCAAGACGTGGTACTTGGTGGCTGAACACACAGGCCAAGAGGGTCTAAGCAGCCTCTCAATGCCCTGTCCAGATGGGAGAATAGTCAACTCCTGCAGAGCCCCAATATGGAGAAGGGCCCAGAAAACCCTGGGTAGGACTCAGAATTTAGGCCTCCATTTTACTTTTTCTCACCAAGCACCCAGGCTGGACGGTGGTCACTCAGGAACAACACTCCTTAGAGCCAGCCACCTACTCTCAGACCCTAACTTTGGGCAAGGACTAGGTAATGGTGGCGTGGCTTTCGTGGGTCCGTCAGAGAAGTTAGTCGGCACAAAGAATCTAGTACTTTCTAGACATTTAAACAATACATTTCTGGGAACCAAATCTAACATGTCAGTGGGTCCGATTCCAAGGGGGGAGAAATCCAATTTGGGAGAACGATGATAGCTTGCAATTTGTCTAGCACTTACATTTTACAAAGGTCCTCCGTGTAGTTTATCTCATTTGATCTTCAACATTACGCTCGGACGTGGGTATGATTATCAGGCATCAGAGAGGTTAAGTGGTTTGCCTGAGGTCACATAGCTAATAAGCTGCAGAGCAGACTGGAAATTAAATCCAGCCTTTTGACTCCCAATCCGGTGCCCTTCAGTTTTAGGAGTTTCGTGGAGTGGGCAGGCTCACCCTTCACAGCTAGGAATCCTAGCAGTTTTCTCCACCGAGAAAAAGAATGGC